TTGGAATTTGATTTGTGAATATGTTATGGTCATATTTCACTTCTTTTGACTTTAAATTGCACCCACTTGATTCCTAGTTTTCTCGAATCATCATTCCATTGCCCATCCCATCTTTGGATTATTTGCAATTTGACCCCTGGACTTTCACTTTCTTCTATTTTGGTCATTTTTTGCTCTTTTCTTTTAAATTTTACATTTTCTACCACAGTGCAACCTGAATCAAAACATAAGTATAATGAATGCATTTTGGTATTAAATAATCACACGAGTGCAATAATTAAGAGGGAAAAATATTAAATTTTACACTCTTATCATCTCCGAACTTCGGTATCTGTCAATTTAAGTTCTAAATTCTAGCTTGTTCATCCTACCTGCGTAGCCAAATTAATTACCTAATCATTTACGTACTTCAACTTGCGAAGTATTTAAATTTTTTATTTTCGTTAAGTCAAAATTGATCCAAACAATCTGTACTAAAAAGTCAAAATTACAGAGAAAATATGTGTGAGACAAAATACGAAAAATTATTTCTCAGATCCTTTTGCTATCAGAGACTTGGACAGAAGCATGTGGCCATCTTGGCTAATTTTTTTATCCAAACATTGTTATTATTTTGTACAGCACAAAATGTAGCTACAAGTTAATTATTTCTCCAGCATTTAAAAATCTCACCATATTTTTCATAGTCGGGTTGAGCTTGAATAAACAGAAAATTAACGACAACTTTTTTAGCAACCCATGACTTTTTTAGCAGCAAGCTTAGTCTTAGGTTTGTCCACCACAGTACCATCATTTCCAGCCAATGCTCGATATTTATCCTTCCTAGTAAAGTTGGTGCACTCGTACGATAGCGTTGCGGCAATCATTCTTTGTATATAATTAGCCACATCATGGCTAGATTTTCCAGCACTGCAAGTTAAATCTTCAGGCAATTTATTCAAAAATGTCACCTCATAAGCAGGGCTTGGGTTCATGAAGAAATAGAAGGGATCCATTCCTTTCCATCCTCGAGCCGTCGTCCCATGAAACATGCTCATTCGATTAGACATTGCGACGGGCACGAGTTGATCAGTTAATTCTGCGAACAATGATGAAAATCTGAGTAAAAAGGGTTCCCTGCACGTCGTCCCCTCGGGGCATATGACTAGGTCACCTTCTTCGAGGAGTTTCTTGATCATGTTAGCATCCTTGATACGGTCCCGGCTTAGCCTAACAGTTTTTATCGGGGAAATAATCTCGGAGAGTCGGGATAATGAATACGTGACTGCTGGGATTGGTCGTCCAAGCGCGGTTGATAGGAAAATTGGGTCGAGAAGTGTTCTGTGTGAGCAAATGAATAGAACACCCGATTGGCCGATTGATTTTTTCGGCGGGGGAGGTGGGGTTCCTTTGACGTTTACTCGTACACCGAGCGCCCAAAATGCATAATAGACTAGCGGCATCGGGAGGAGTGCACCGGCCGCAATACGCAAACAGGCTAGGATGAACCCCACAGGAATCCATAGAATTGTTAGCAGTGCCATTAGAGGACTTAGTTTATGCACGAGCCGGCCATCGTGGAAGACGATTGGCTTTGGCAACTTGTCGAGGCTCACGGGCACCACCTCTGGCTTTGACGGAACGACGTAACTTTCCTGCAAAAGAAACTAACCTATTAAGAATAACGGTTACAGATAAACAATATTTTAGCTTAAATTTCGTCTTTATGATCCATGACCAACCTTGCAGAGTTCCATGAAGGGAAAATCGGTTTTTCGATCACCAAGTCCAATTTCTGGTGCTGTATTGCCAAATGCCTTTCGAAGAGCGTCTGCCTTATTCTTCCCAACAAGAATCCCAGGACTAGCAACAAGTCCTGTGGCTCTACCTTTAAATGTTGCTATCTCTGTCCCAATAACCAAATCCGCGCCTAAATACTCTTTCAAAGAGGCCTCGACCATGATCCGAGGATTGGCTGTTAGAACGCATTTTCTCCCACACGATGAAAAAACACGCCATGTCTCAGGGTGCAAGTCGCTCGAGTAAAATTTTGGCAAAACCGCACGGGCAACTGACTCGATACTGGATACTTTCATACCAGCAAACGTTGCAAAAATAAGCACGCGAATGCCTGCAGATTCCGAGATGTAGTAGTACAAAAGACCAGCCAATGGAGTGGCCAAGAGCAAGAAAAGAAGCCTTAAAATTCCACCAACTTCAAAGGCTACTAATGCAAAATAAGGAAAAGAACTACGTCCTATAAGCAAAGTTCCATCCATATCAGTAACAACAGTATGGTTTTCATGCCCCTCGAATTCACATTGGTTAACATTAGGAAATTTACTAGATGACTGCACACCGGAGTTTGCCATTGTTTGTCGAGCCGTTTAAACTTAATCGAACTCTACTAAATAGGTTTAATTGTCTGTTATATATAGTTAAAATGTGGGGTGCAAACAAACGAGTTTAGGTGGTGACAAATGCTTTGGCTATGAGATCAATGGAGGGAGCGGAGATTTCCAAAGTTTGTTGGATTGAAACATTCTTTGGTATTGTCGAGGAGTTCATGTTGTTTTGCAAACTTATGAAATCAGGTTTAAGAATATTTATTGCTCCAACAATGATAGAATATCCTGGTAGTAGATCAAGGTTCATTGTGTCATCATATCCCATTTGGCAGAGCTTCTATTTTTGTTTTTATTTCTTATAGAAGAGTTTCATGATAAAGCTAATTCAGGCTAACTTTTTATAAAAGCTCTTCTAACCGAACGAAGCAATTTCAAAAAGTTTTCTAAACATATTCAAAAGCATCCGATTAATCACAAAAGTAGCTTTTGACTATTCATAAGCCTTGTCAAACAGGTTATAGTTCTTCTAGTATGGCATGATTATGAATCACAACCCGGACATTAATTGTAGTGGATTCATGACTAATTGGATTCTGAGTTGTAACTAGTGGATTCATTACTAGTTGGATAGGTGAATCATTGTAGATATCTATTTTGTAAGAATTTTTAAGATTTTTATTCGACTCTTTGATTTTGTCTTAGCAGCTTTTTCATATGCAAAGACTATTATTTTGGATTTGCTGATTACTCCTAGGTAGATTAAAGATTTATGTAATCAGTTGAACCATGAATGAAAATAATCCCCATAGACCACCCAAATTGACTTACGTTACACTGCCTGTGGAAAGCATTATAATGCATCTTCATCCGGCCAGCCGATGTCAATGTGAAATGTGCTTCTTCTTCTTTGATTTCATACATGCCTAGTTAAATACTTGTCCATTTTGTTATGAGTAATGCCATTTGCAGTCGCTCACTGCCATAGTCGCCATATATAAAATTTAGTGATTTGATATATTAATGAGGTAATTTTTTTTATTACTTTATGCATCAAATCACTAACT